GGTTCCACTCCTCCCTCCATCAACGACTTCCACAACCGCCACCGAAGCCACCAAACCCCCACAACACCGGCACTCCCTCACCTCCCTCTACAACCTCCGACCATATCCTTCCCATCGACCGCAGATGATAACCCCAATTCCCATCCAAAATCGCGAGTGCAGTCACGATTTTTCGCCAGTAACTTCCACATCTGGCCACCCTCTCGATCGTGGAGCACCACCACAACATTTCTCACAACCAGGCGCATCTATTTCTACAATGGGTCAGCCTCAATTTCGTCCGGAATCGGCTGCCTTGTTGGAGCAGTCCACCCCCTCACACACCAGAACCCATCGAGAAAACAAATCTCCACGAATCGAGTGCTGAATAGGTATTATGGAGACTTTAATTCAATTTTATTTTTTGTAAAATTGCAATACTTTGTGTGTTTATGTTTCTCTGTTTAATTTAGAAACTTTAATTTGAGAAACTGGATTGAAGGAAGTGGTAGGGAATTGAAGAAAGCTGGAATCTTGGGAAGTTCTTGATTCGTCCTTTGATATGGGTGTTCAATTCTTGGTCTTTTATCATACAGATACAGTTTTGAGGCAATTAGGTGGATAAGATACAATTTTTTACAGAGCTTGGAGGGTTGACAGCGTGGGAGGTCTTAGATTCACATGAAAATAGCAAGAATTCAGAAGGGGTTTCAATTTGATGTTGTTAGACTGATATGAACATAGCAAGAATCAGAAAGAGTTTCAATTGGATATTGTTTGAAGTTACTTTTCCTGGTTAATTTCTTTGTTAGATGAGTTTATTCCATGTAATTGGATTTGGATTGAAGTTGGGGTATCAACTTTTGATGTCATGTTACTGGTTTTTGTCTCTGATTTCTTTGAATTTGCAGAGTAATGGTGGAGTCATGACTACCAAGACCAATTGGCTTGGTGATGCAGGGCGGATATGGATGAAATTGTGGGATTTGCTTTTGGAAAGTGGTTATAAGTTCCACCATTATTATTCTCAGTATATGGGGTCGAGGAAAGTTAGGAAAAACTGGTGGAGGAAGCTTTTAGTGGCATGGATTGGGTTCTGGATCGTAGCATCGGTTTGGGTGTTCTGGTACATGAATTCACAAGCTTATGAGAAGAGGAAAGAGGCACTTGCGAGTATGTGCGATGAGAGGGCTAGGATGTTGCAAGATCAATTTAATGTTAGTATGAATCATATACAGGCCATGTCTGTTTTGATTTCAACCTTCCATCATGGCAAGAACCCTTCTGCCATTGATCAGGTAAGATACATCATCTTTAATCTGAATTTGGGTGCACCGCAGTAGACGCTAAATTTAGTATAGAAAAAGAATGGATAATAATAGTTGGACAGTATTACGGTAGATAATATTGTTTAATCTTATAATAAAATAAATGTCATTTGCACTATCAACCGTATAATGTAACACGGAGGATGGCGATGGTTTTATATGGGATAAAACAATGGCATTTTTTTAACTAAAAGATCAAAGAATATTAACCATCTTAATCCACCCTAACACCATTTACCTATCTACTGTGAATTTTTATATGGTCTAATATGATGCACCAAATGCAACCTAAATGTTTAAGTTTCGTTTCTCGATTGAAGACTGAGACTGATAGTTCTTTACATGATAAATTTGTTCAAAGGAAAAGTTCTTGTCAATAGAGATCCTCGCATTTATAGCATTAGTGTTCATATCCTTGTTCTTTTGCTTCAACTCTCATGGATCATATCCGTGAAAAAATTCAAACTTCAAAATCTTGCAGAATACTTTTGCGAGGTACACGGAAAGAGCAGCTTTTGAGAGGCCCCTCACAAGTGGGTGGCATATGCTGTAAGGGTTCTCCACACTAAAAGAGAGCAATTTGAAGCTGAACAAGGCTGGTCCATAAAGCAAATGGACGATGTTGAACAAACCCCAGTTCATGAAGACGAGTATGATCCAGCGGACCTTGAGCCATCACCGGTTCAGGAGGAATATGCCCCCGTCATTTTTGCCCAAGATACTATTTCACATGTAATTTCTGTTGATATGCTCTCGGGAAAGGTAAAATTCTAAGTTTTATGACCTATAATTTACTTAAATGTTAAATGATTCTGAGCTGTATCGAACAATTTAAACATAGACAACATACTATATAATCCAATGAATTTGCAAGCTCATTGTTAACATTATGTCTCTTTTTTCTTACTTCATTTTTGAAGTTGAAAGCAGAGGTAGAAAAGAAAAGGAAAAAAAAAAAGTCAGGAGACTTTATAACATCAATCTTTTTGGTGACAGGAAGATCGTGAGAATGTATTACGTGCAAGAGAATTAGGAAAAGGCGTCCTTACTGCTCCTTTCCCGTTGCTCAAAACAAACTGCCTTGGAGTAATATTGACTTTTGCTGTCTACAAAAGAGATCTTCCCCCTAATGTGTGTAGATGTTGCGCTCAAGCAGCTCTAATTTTGATTTTTAGCTCTTTCCAGAATAACGGATTTGCATGGAAAAGTAGAGGGAATTTATTGTAGCTCAACATTCTAGTTCTATAGCATTGTAATCTGCTGAAAGATTTGGCCAAACTAAAAGAAACAAATATATAATTATGTTATAAAAGACATTTTTTTCTTTTCTTTTTTGAAGCTTATTTCTGTAAAGTTATTTCCGTTAATAAACAATCAAATCCTTATATGACTTCTAATATTCTTATTCTCCTAGACAAAGATAAACAGTGTTATATCAACTGTTGATTAAATGACTGTTTTAATGTTTCCACGTCTTCTAAATAGGTACCTTGGTGGAGTCTTCGACATTGAATCACTTGTAGAGAAATTACTTCAACAGCTTGCCAGCAAACGAACTATCCTTGTGAATGTGTATGATACGACTAATATCACCAATCCTATCAGCATGTATGGTTCAAACATGTCGACTGATGGGCTGCATCATATCAGTGCCCTTAACTTCGGAGATCCGTTCAGAAAGCATGAAATGCACTGCAGGTGATCTAAACTCTCCTCTCTTTGAACTTTTGCTTCTCAGCTTTGCCGTATCTAGCTAGATAACAGGAAACATAGACAAAATCTCTTATAAATTAATTAGCTTTTAGGCATCAAGATAAGTATCAAGTATGGATGAACTCATAAGAGATTCCGTTCTTGAAAATCTTCACTTTTAAATACCTAAAAAATAGATGGATTTCTAGGTTCTCTATTTCCATATTCCTTTGTTCTTGTTGGCTACATGTAAAACCTAGAGAAGCTTATATCTGCTATTTATCATGATTCCATTGCTGATATTTAACTGTTAATAAACATATTCTACAATACAGATTCAAACAAAAACCGCCATGGCCGTGGGTTGCAATAACAACCTCGATTGGCATTCTTGTAATCGCATTGCTCATCAGGCAAATATTCCATGCCACAATGAATCGAATAGCCAAAGTTGAGGACGATTATCATCAGATGATGGAGCTTAAGAAATGTGCCGAGGCTGCTGATGTTGCAAAGTCGCAGGTACTAGCTTTAATTACTTAATCAATTAATTTTATATTAAGCCCTTGTTTGTCTACCATTAAAGTAGGAAAATGAGTTTTGAAATAATGAATTTTTGGAGAATGTGTGGTTAAAACGTAGGAAAAAAGTTTAGGGTTTACATGCAAAATATTTTATTGTGATAATGTGTGGTTGAAAATGAGTTTGAGAAAAAATGAGTTTTAAAATTGTGAGTTGGGAGGAAAAATTATTTTTCTCAATTGTATTCAACAATCTCTTAGGTATATATACAAGTTACAATCTTATATTAAGAAGGAAACTAATTATGTTAAATTCCTATAACTTAGAATCATATATATATTTCCTATTCTAAAATATAATCTATAACACCCCCCTCAAGTTGGAGTATAGATATTTATCATGCTTAGCTTGTTACAAAGATAATCGACCCGAACCCCATTCAGAGCCTTTGTGAAGATATCTCCCAATTGTTCTCCTGTTTTCATATACCCTGTAGAAATCAAACCTTGCTGGATCTTTTTACGTACAAAATGACAATCAATCTCAATGTGTTTAGTTCGTTCATAAAAGACTGGATTAGATGTAATATGAAATGCAGCTTGGTTATCACACCATAACTTAGCCGGTATTGAAGTCTTGAGGCCCACTTCAGTGAAGAGCTGATGTATTCACATTATTTCACACGCGGACTTAGCCATAGCTCTATATTCTGATTCTGCACTCGAACGTGAAACCACATTTTGCTTCTTACTTTTCCATGAAACCAAATTTTCTCCAACAAATACACAATAGCAGAAGTAGATCTTCGATCTTCCTTGGATCTTGCCCAGTCAGCATCCGAAAAACATTTTATTTTAGTATGACCATGATTGCAATACAGAATCTCTCCCGAGCACTCCTTTTAAGTAGCATAAAATTTGTTCTACAGCTCTCCAATGATCAACAGTTGGAGAAGACATATACTGACTCGCCACATTAACTGAATAGGTGATATCTGGACGAGTTACAGTAAGGAAGTTCAGCTTTCCAAACAATTTTCTATCTCTCTCAGGATTTTCAAACAATTCACCGTCTTTTGTAAGCTGCAAATTAGGAACCACTGGAGTGTTATATGGTTTAGCCCCCAGTTTTTCAGTTTCAGTAACAAGTCAAGCACATACTTTCTTTGAGATAAGAAAATCCCTTTCTTACTTCTCGTCACCTCAACACCGAAGAAATATTTTAGTGTTCCTAAATCCTTTGTATGAAACTGACTGTGAAGGAAATATTTGAGAGATGAAATACCACCAGAATCACTCCCAATAATAACAATGTCATCAACATAGATTACTAATAGGATGATATCAATTGCAGACTGCTTATAGAAAACGGAGTGATAGGACTTACTCTTCTTCATGCCAAACTTTTCAATAGCCTGACTAAACTTTCCAAACCAGACTCGGGGACTTTGTTTCCTATGGTAGGACAAGAGTTCAACAATTTTCAATTGAATCAAATTCTTCACTTTTTCATGTTTCAAGGGGTTAATTTAGATAAAATATTTCATTTAATTTTAAATGATTTTCGATAAATAAATATATCGTGTTAATCACCTGCAGGGTAGAACGTGAATATTCTAGAATATAATCTATAACAGAAATAATGGTAGACAAAATAGGGGCTAAACGTGTATGTGCAAATGCATCTAAAACTATTTCTTATGACTGCAGTTTATTGCTACGGTTTCCCATGAAATCAGAACCCCAATGAATGGTGTTCTTGGTGAGTACTAAAATTCTTTCTTTTGCTGGTGACGTAATTCAGTATTTCTGATTCTTTGTGTTGATGAAATTACACGCGAAGATATCACCGATGACATCATTCATGTATTTTAGGGATGCTGCAAATGCTTATGGATACGGATCTAGATGAAACTCAACAAGATTATGTCAGAACTGCACGGGACAGTGGTAAAGCTTTAGTTTCACTAATGAATGAGGTTTTGGACCAAGCAAAGATTGAATTTGGTAAAGTTGAGCTGGAGGCTGTTTGCTTTGATTTGAGGGCAATTCTGGATGATGTTTTATCACTATTTTCTGGAAAATCACAAGAAAATGGAGTTGAGGTAAATCATACTTTTGATTTCTTTCTTTTTCAGCCTGCTTGTTTTGTTCAGTGCTCTTACTCTGAGGCCCTTTTATTTGCCTTTTGCACTTCCTTTATAAAATTGCATAAGCAGTTGGCAGTGTACATCTCTGATAAAGTCCCCGAAATACTAGTTGGTGATCCAGGAAGATTCCGGCAGATCATTACAAATCTGATGGGCAACTCAATCAAAGTGAGTGCTATATTTCGAATTTGTTGTTCACACTGAACAATTTGGGCTAAATTTTGAAGTTACCGTATTTCATTGATTATATAAGACTAAATTTTCTATTTGGAAAAGAACTTGGTAGCTAATACATTGTGAAGTTGCACAACAGATATAATGCTTTTTATATGAATGTGCACGAGTTTATTGTTCAAAAGCGATGCGCATGTTCTATCATGAATGTGTTAGCAAAAGTAAAGAAATTAAAAATCTAGAGGATGTAGTTTGTATTAGACTAGTTTGAAAAAGAGTCAGTTCGATTCTCTTTCGATTTATTGTTTTTCTTTGCATTACTTGTGCTTTTGCTGGGTTTTCATCTAGTAGGTTGCTTGTCTGTGAATTCTATATTGTGATAAATGGCTTGAATTTGTATAATGCTATAAGGTTATGCTCTAGCATATGTTCAAAGCTAACAAGCAACTATGTATGCATTTTGTAAATGTCAACTAATGGTTTCTTATGCTGGTAGTTCACCGAGAGAGGACACATATTTGTGACTGTCCATCTTGTTGAAGAAGTGGTGGAATCAATGGAAGTGGAGACAGAATCACCTTCAAGTGGCACTTTGAGTGGATTGCCTGTAGGCAATAGACGGCAAAGCTGGGAAGGATTTAGAATTTTCAGTCAAGAAGGATCTGCTACTTCATTATTATCATCCTCAAGTGACCTAATTAATCTGATAGTGTCGGTAGAGGACACGGGTCAAGGGATCCCATTTGAATCTCAATCACGTGTATTTACCCCCTTCATGCAAGTCGGTTCCTCGATATCAAGAACACATGGTGGCACAGGTATTGGGCTAAGCATAAGCAAGTGTTTGGTCCACCTAATGAAAGGTGAAATTGGGTTCGTAAGCTTGCCACAGGTTGGATCCAACTTTACTTTTACAGCTGTTTTCACCACTGGCTGCTCAGGTCTGAATGACCAGAAGAATCAGCATATTAACAATCAGCCCAACTCCATTTCTTCAGAATTTCAGGGAATGAGGCCTTTACTTGTGGACCCTACACCCATAAGGGCACAGGTCTCCAAATATCACATCCAGTGACTTGGGAGTACACGTTGAAGTGATTCGTGATTTGAATGACATGGAAGTTGGGAACATGATTATAAACATGGTTTTTATTGAATTGGAAGTTTGGCACAAGGATTTAGGCTTGTTGACTCTCATTGTCAGCAAACTGAATAGAACAAATTGTAAAGTTACTCCTAAAGTGTTTCTTCTATCCAATGCAACAAGTTCTACTCGAGTCAATTTCTCTACTTCAGGTGTTTCCACTCCATTTGTCATCATGAAACCGCTAAGGGCAATATGCTTGCTGCATCCCTGCAGCACGCCATGGGTGTTGGAAACAGAGGAAATTATCGGAACGGAGAGCTTCACACTTTATCCCTCAGCAATCTTCTGCGTGGTAGAAAAATTTTAGTTGTAGATGATAATCAGGTTAACCTCAGAGTGGCTGCTGGGGCCCTAAAGAAGTACGGTGCTGATGTGGTCAACGCTGAAAGGGGGAAAGAGGCAATCTCACTGCTAACACCACCCCATCATTTCGATGCCTGTTTCATGGATATTCAGATGCCGGAAATGGATGGGTAAGCATCGCACAATTTTTAGTAACAGTATTGATTGGCATTTATGAACTTCAGGATTCAGTTATTAGATCCACGGTAACTTCTCAGTTGTTGAATATGGAAAAAACTATGAAAGGTGTGAGCAGCTTATAAGCTACTACTTTAGATCAATTATTTGTGTAAATGAAGTTTTTGAATGTATATCATATCAGCTAACTTTTCAGGCTGCAGTTTTTTTCTTGCATTTCTAGATATTATTTGGTTTCTTGGAGTTTTAGCTATTTTATAATATAGAAATTTCTACAGCTTTGAAGCTACAAAGAGAATTAGGGATGTGGAACTTAGCATCAATAATCGTCTCCAATGTGGTGAACTCTCTCTTGACGCTTACAAAAATGTTTCAATCTGGCATGTGCCTATTTTGGCAATGACTGCTGATGTGATTCAGGCTACAAATGAAGAGTGTCTGAAGTGCGGAATGGATGGATATGTCTCCAAACCGTTCGAGGCCGAGCAAGTATATAGGGAAGTTTCCTGCTTTTTTCAGAGTCGAATGAGGATTATTGGGAAGAGTCTTCTTATTGATGCTCACGATGATGCTAGCTGAAGGCACGCATTCTTCAAGTCACCTTAGAGTGTTCATATTCATAGTAAATTTTCAACAACTGTGAGTAAGCCAATTGAAGATCTTTCTTTTCTATTTCAACTTTTGACTTTGCTAATCTTGATTGTGTTCTCATCTGCGTTGTTCTTACTCCAGGAAAATGTGTTTTCTTCAATTGAATGACGATGTATAATGTTCTTAATGGGGATGTTGTCGTGCTCCATTGGTCGTGTATTCAAAGAGCCTGTAGCTGGACATGACCTCTGACGAACTCGGGTGCTCTGGATATTATGGATACTGTGCTCCCGGTGAGAGCAAATTTGCAAATATTGTGGAAAGTCGCATTGCACGGTGAGGAAGTCATGTTTGTCTAATAGAGTGATTTAGGATGATAAGAATGTAATATAGTCGACAATAGCAGGTAGATGTACATTTTGAAACTAGGACGAATTCGTATGGATTGTAGTGTGCAAAATGTTGTTCGTTATAGAACGAAGAGGAGCAATCTTAAAGAACAGTCTTTTCGTTTTCTTCACTCATTATAAATACTTCTTTGTTTAAAACAATAGATATTCAACGGAAATTTAAACTGACATTGAACTTTAAAAGTTTCCTGAATTGTCGTTGAACTTGACGAATTTATTAAAATGTTATCACATTTTATTATTTCATCTATCGAGTCCTTCAATTCATTAACTTTTAAAATAACGAGAGTAGAGTGATGAATGCGATAATAATTTGATAGGTGTAGTAATTCGTACGACTTTTGAAGTTCAATGGTAAATGAATAATATTTAAGAAGTTCAGTGGCAACTTAAAAACCTTTTAACCTTGTTTCACATCCATTAGAATTTTTTTTTTCAAACTCATTTTCAACTATACGTTTACATAATAAAATATTTTACATGTACGTTTAAAACTTTTTCCTATTTTTTTAACTTCACATTCTCCAAAAAATCATTATTCAAAAACTCATTTTAATCAATAACTATTTGAAAAATATTTGGAAAAACTCTCTGATAATTTTGACCACTCGAGAATCTAGTTTAAGCCAGGAAAAAATCTTTGAAAAGTAGCTTGGTTTATCTTTAAGATTTCAACTTCCTAAATTTTAAGCCTAATTATATCGACATCAATATCCCTTTTGTGGTGATCGAGTAAGATTTTAATCTAGTTTTCTGTGATCATTTGTGAAATCACCTGAACTTTAGTAACTATTCAAATCAAAAATCACTTTGAAATTTTTTACAAATTTCAGTGACTATTCTGTATTTAGTTATTTCAAATAATAAGCTAATGCCGTGACTCGGTAGATTGGCGGGCCTGTACCAGGAGCCGTCAATGCTCACTTTTGAGTGCCCAAAATATTACAAACAAGCTCGAGGGCCTACCGTTCCAGCAGTGCCAACACCAGATCACTACCCGTAGATTTCCAGCCGTCGGGCCCTTCCGGTTGCATGCTTGTGTTTGTCTCCGGTAATCTCGCGAACAGCACCCCCTCAAGTTCAGTCAGGTCTTTTTCCCTTGTATTTGTTTTGATGTTTATGTATTAGTTATGTCACTGAATGCAGTCTTTTCTTATTTTCTTATTTGCACCGGTTTGCATGAAAGCTATAGCCTATAGCCCAATGAGTAGAGTATCACCCAAAATCAAGTTCCACCCAAGCTCACTCACCCTCGTCTCAACTTTCAAAGTAAAAATTCTACTTTACAAAAATTGCTCATCCCTCAAATAAATTGCTAGCCATAAGTGTTTTAACTGTAACTTATCCATAATCCATGTAATTCCTTTTTCAGGAAATCAAATGTAAACATAAATTGCTTCAATTACGAATCCAACCATTTCTCACAAGTATTATCAACCCCCTATCTAACAAAGCTTTTTGAGATTATAAGTTGGTGAATCCCATGAAATGCGTGGGCGTGACAAACAACCAAGATTTAATTTTCTCACATTAACCCCTATTCATCAAGAATGTAATGTACTGCTCTCTGCTGCTGTTCATTAACCAACATTCACAAACCATAGTACAAATTGATCGAGCTGGAAACTATTTCGCCATTTTCTATATGGGAAATGTCAGCACGAGAAGAAGATGATGTTTCAGATTCCGGATTTTCAAGCTCGGCCTGCCACATTTTACAATTAATGCTAAGTCACAGTGCACAAATTTCATGAGAAAGAAAAAACGGGCCAAAAAAAGAAACAAACGGATATGCAATGCATTTTGCAATTAGATGTTTGAAATCTTAATCAGAAGCATCTAGATGTATTTATATATGGTTATACACTACCTCTATCCGGAACACAAGTTTTTTTAGCGACATACATTTAATATCACCAGATTTATTTTAAACTTCCCGTAGATGTTTATAGTAACTGCTTCTCATTTTGGCATGAAGAAGAAGAAGAAGAAATGATCTAAATATCAAGAAGACGTGCCTGTGATTTTGAGACAAAACTTGGCAAGAGAAAGCAATTGTTTTAAGCTTTTATTACCTTAACTTGAAGCTATTTTTCAAGAATACGCTGATATTGCTGACGTGCCTCTGGAAATTTAACCATAGACAGCACCATGGAGATAGCCTCATTAATAGCTGCATCCACTTTTTGCTTGCGAAATGCCTTAAGAATGTCTTCATCATCACTTTCTTCAATGAATTCCGTGTCGAGCCGAAATCCCCGCAAGCCAACTCCACGTCGGCGCCACCTCAGCACTACCTTCTCCAATATACCAACTGCCCAGCATATCTTATAATACCTCCTAACCTGATAGCCTCTCACATGGGCCTGCCATGAAAAGAACAAGAGCCTCACCTTATAACCTTTACCACTAATTTGGTAATTTACTATCGCAAGTTCCATCATCTTTTTTACTGGGGGTGGGGGTCAAAAGATATACTTGCCAAAGGGAATTCACAATGTTAGAATGTGACTTTTATATCAACTGAGTTGAACAAAGAACACATTCTGTCAACGCACTTGCCGCATCATTAATTTAGCAGATTTGTAATTTTTGGAGGCCTACATCTTTCAGTAAGAGTTTTTTTCTACTCCCTTTATTTAATGTGTTAAATAACAAGGAGCCATCTGGAATGGAAGTTAATCTTAACCATTATATTTTAATATGTAAACGAAAAGTCAACCCTCAACTTTTTTGTTCCAAACTTCACAGCATCTACAAGTCAGTCAAAGTACTAATGATATTTCTTACTAAAATTACTTGTACAGATGAAGTTAATGACTGAAATGGCATGTTTTAGGATAAAAGAACTTTGACAGTTTTTGGAAGGAAGCATCTAATGAGATTGCATCATACTCACCTGAGTTTCGTACACCGGAAAGCTAAAAAATTCAGTGTCTTATTGTATGCAAGTAATATGCTTGGGAAAAAGTGATGCACCTGTATCTTCACTACTTTCTGGCAAAATGCAAGGAAATTCTTCCGCCCTTTCCAGCCTCGATATTTCTTCTGAATAGACAGAGCAGCCGAGTTGTAGTCACGTGTATAGCGAAATGCCACTTTTGATGCTGCTGAAAGACCCTGGATGTCATTTGATAATATACCGTTCTCATCTCCACGAGCATCAGCAATGAAAACTGTAGCTTCTCTCTGCTGCCTTTTCCGAAAAGAATGTGCACGAAATGCAGATTGAATACGTGCAGCTGCCTGAGAGGCATTACGGACTGCAGCTAAGGTGTACTTCAGAGAGTCCTGATCTTCATTGATAGAGGAGCTTGTACTTGATATACTATTCACTGTTCTTTCTGCTTCCAGAGCTGCAGATCCTTTAGATAGCTCACTTTCGTCCAGTGTGAGGGATGAGAGATGGCCAGTTAGAGCCATTTCTGAAAGATAACCTGCAAGTCCCCTGTGCTCACTTGCAGCAGCAATGGCTGCCGGAGTTTTACCAGTTGGGTCCTGTGAATTAGGATCTGTAACTGCTCCAGCAGATGCACCACATGCTATGAGAGCGGCAACAAATTTTTCCCTGTTATAAATATAACATTTTAAGTAAATCATGCTTTCCAACAATAATAAATACAATTTACTAGAGAAGGTCTTCCATTGATGGCACTAGCATAAAAAGCAAGAGATTCTTTTTTTTTTTCCCTCCCCTTCTGTTCACAAAATCGACCAGACTGAACAAAATTAGCGATAACTGATACGTATATTTGTGCTGATTGGTTATGCAATAACAATACCTCAACCTTAATACTCTAAAACGTGTGTTATTAATCCCATTTGGAACTGAAGAGAAGATTAGTAGTAGAGGGGCCAAAAGTCTAACTTAATTCAGGTTGAATTTCTACTGAGGTGTTGAAGACATCAGAAGTTAGAGCTACATTTCCTTCACCTTTTACAATGTAATTCAAGAAATTCCTTTGTATTTTTTAAAATAATAGTTTGAGTTACAAAAGTATTCCAAACAAGAGTTAAATGCAATTCATTGTGTAAAAGTGCCAAATGTCATGAAACTGACAGATATCCATGAAAATGGAAAAATATAATAAGGCTTACCTCCCAAAATATGCGGCCCAATGAAGTGCAGTCCACCCATTGATATCACGAAAATTTACATTGACTCCGGAATTGAGAATTGGCTGTAACGCCCACTCAAATCCCAATCCAGCAACCATGTGTATGATCCCTTGTTCTTTCTTAGATAAAGAAGAGTCCAGCAGATTATTCTCTCGTAATCTAGAAGAAAGCCATAGTTCCAACTTGTCTTTCAGAAGTTCCTGTAGAAGCCAATCCTTAGTGTTTGATGATGTAGAAGTGGCAACTGAAAGAGTATCAATGATTTGGCTCCGCGAGGGTTCAGCCTTTTTGGACTTGCTCAACAAATCAAT